TCATTATTATTATTATTATGATTATTATTATTATGATTATTATGATTATGATTATTATTATTATTATGATTATTATTATTACATAGTGACCACTTCAAGGACTAGACTTGGAATGGTTTTTGATGAATCTAACATTCAGTGAGAAATTAAGGAGCTCTGAATTTAATCTGAGTTTTAAAGTTGTTATTTGTAATATTTGTATTAGTTCACTGAATTAAAACAAACAAAAAAAATCAAATTAACTAAGTTTATTTGGTAGAAATTCATTAATAGAACAAAGAGACTAAAAGTCTAAAACGCTCTAACTCAGGTCTTAAATGAGTCCAGTTAAAAATCAGGATCTAAACAAAGACCCACAATAGCGCTGAAACATGTCTAGTTTATAGTGTACCTATAAGGCAGCACTAGTTGGACAAATATTATTTTTCTCCTTGCAGCCAGTTTGAAGTTGCTCATCATCACCTACTGTATAGGGGTATATTGTGTCATTTTACAGTGTCAGTGGAACAAAATAAACACAATTTACACAAACAAAACCAAAAGAAAAGTAACTAAAGCCTTTAGAGAAATGTAATGGAGTAAGAAGTATGATTTTATAGATAAAATGTAGTAAATGTAAAATACAGAAAATGTAAAATGAAAAATTTTTCAAAAAAAATTTAACTTAAGCATAAATTCAGACTGGAAGACTCTCCCCACATCCGGTCGCTACACCATGCTCCCCGTTGCAGTCCGTCATCATCAGCTCCTCACCTCGCTGCAGCCAATCATCATGCAAGATACACTTATAAGGCTCTGTGTCCTTGGTTTCACCTGCTTCCTGGCTGCATTCGCCCCACCTCCACCCCGTCTCCATCCTCATTCTCCGAGGGAAGTACACCTGGATCAGTCCTCTTGTTTGCCGTCTGTTTCCCGTCCTCTCAAACCCAGCCGGTCGAGGCAGATGGACGCCTGACCTGAGCCTGGTCCTGCTGGAGGTTTCTTCCTGCTAAAAGGGAGTTTTTCCTGCATTGCTGCCATCATGCTGCTCAGGATGGGAGACTGTGAAGCAAAGATTCACACAATCTGCTGGTTTCCTAGTTTGATCGCTTTAAAAAAACAGCGTCAAAGAACTTTACTTATCTATGTCAAATAAAACTTTTTAACAGCTTCTCTGTGAGTCTTTCCTGGTTGAAATGCCATTCATTACAAATTCTCAAAAACAAGTACCTAAGTGCAGTACTCAAGCCAATTTACTTTGTTACTGCCCACCTCTTGTTTTGATACAACCTTTTCTAAAATGAATCATATTAAGTTTCTCCAGATCTGAAGTGTAGGGGTCACCTCGAGTGAAGAAACAGGAGTTACTGCCTCAAAGCAGGTCTCGGACAGGCCTGAAAGAAGGCAGGAAC